AATAAAAAATAAGCTAGCCAGTAAAGATGGAAAAATTCAAGAGACATTCTCTCTGCGATAATGTGCTATTATACAGTGAAAGGGTAGTAATCCCTAATACACCCCAGAAAAGAATACTGAAAGACTTTCATGCTGGTCACCCGGGCATAAATAGGATGAAGAGCATACGTCTACTGGCCAGGTATGGACAACGACATCGCGTCTATGGTCGGCAGATGTAAAGGCTGCATCCTGGCAGCAAAATCACCACAAATTCTACAGAAGCCATGGCCAAAAACCGACAGGCCATGGTCAAGGATTCACATTGATTTTGCGAGTCCAATTGACGGATGGCATTATTTAGTCGTAGTCGACAGCTTTAGTAAATGGCCCGAAGTTTTTCAAATGAAGAGGCCAACATCTCAAAGTACAATAAACAAATTACATGAATTATTTGCAAGGTTTGGGATGGTAGATACTGTTGTTAGTGACAACGGTACCCAATTCACAAGCAGAGAATTCACAGAATTCTGCCAAAATTTCCAAATTGATCACGTGAGGATTCCTCTGTATCACCCACGCAGCAACGGACTAGCCGAAAGGTTCGTCGATACGTTGAAAAGAGCTCTTAGGAAAGCAACAGGTTCCCCGTATAGAAAAGCGTTACAGCTATTCCTGCAAGTGTACCGAATTACCCCGAATAAATCTGCCCCATCAAGCCTATCACCTGCGGAACTAATGTTCGCAAGAAAGGTCAGATCGGTTTTTGACAAATTGATACCAGAAAATAAGGTACACTCAACAGTCGCTATGGTTCCAAGGCGAAAATTTAACATAAGTGAAAATTTTTTTTTTTTCAAAAATTATAAAAATAATGCAACATCATGAGAACCAGGGGTCGTAAAAAAGCGCATTGGGGATATGGTATACATTATACAAGGAAACAAATTTACACACAAACGGCACATTAACCAGTTGAAGAAAAGAAAGACCGACGAATCTGAAGTAATTCTACAAGAAGACGAATTACACGAATTGTTTGATACGTTTGACCTGCAAATACCGCAGACTGAGCAGAAACAACGCAGATCTGCAAGAAAACGTAAAGCGACACAAAATTTAATAATAGACCCGAAAAGAAAAAAAATATTAATTTTTTTTTCTCACAACGTAAAAAAAAAAAAAAAAACAAATTTTAGGGCGGGGGGTGTTGGGGCGCACCCACCTTCTAACTAGAAATGGACTGGTCCCTCTTATATAAGTCAGCTCTAGAGAGAGGACGAGAGAGCGAGAGACAGAGCGTCAGCAGTCCAGATAAGCTTACCCGTTACATACCGTTGGACTATAGACTTTGGATATTGTTTCGTACTAACCAACCTTCGTTCTACTAATCACTCTATTGTTAATTGCTTTTACAAATATACCAGTATTTTCCTCTAAAACTGTGTTTGTCTTGATTCATACACCGACACGCGGGAAACTCACAACATCTCAACAGTGGCGACGTGGCTTCGAACAGAAATAAGAACCGTACTGGACAATAAGAACATGGTGAGATATTATAAACATTTTACATTAGTTATACGTAGAAAATAATTAAATGTAATAATTGTAGTGTAAATAAATGAATGTTAAATAGTCTGAGTTTGTCTTATATACTTACTTTTGGGAGAAGTTAAAAGAAAGTAAGGCGGGTTATTAAAAATTGTTTCATTTGTGTATGACATCATGACTAGTGTCAAAGGTTGACTAGCGATATAATTCATATTTATAAAGAAAGAAAAATATTTTTCATATTAAAACAATACGACACCATGAACCTTCTGGTTTGTGTCATTTATAGGGTATAATGTGAGAGGTGAAATTGCTGGTCAAGCATTATTATTGGTTAGCCAATCAGAGCAGTGCAATTGGGGTTTGCGCCCCCATAAAAGCTGTTGCTGAAAGAGCAGAAAAAATGATTGAACTGGTTTCACCGCTTGTAAACCGGCACTCTCCCTGCCAGAAGACCGCGGTACCTCAAACAGCTAAAGACCTGTTCTCTACGCCAGACGTCGGCAACCTTTTGCTAACTGTGTTGACTGAGGGTTTTAAAATCATTCAGTGTATCAACAGCATATGTATTTTTATACAAAAGTCAATATACCTGTTCTACATTATATTTTATATAGCAATATATAGTACGTATACTTTAGTATTTATTAAAATTGTGCAAGCCTTTTTTGTAAAATTTGTGATATCGTTTTTATATCTGTATAATAAAAGTTCGTATCGTAGAAGTTTCCCGCAGCAGTCTCGAGTCTTGTCTGTTAAACTTTTAGCATCCCGCTACCACCATTTTTTATCAACATCAATTTTTGTACAAAAAGTGGATCACAGATCTTATTCAGCTTAGTAAATATTTTCAGAAAACCTCAATTTCTGATTGGTCATTTAATATTTAAATCATGCCCGAATATCAATTTTCGTACAAAAAGTGGATCACAGAGCTTATTCAGCTTAATGTATATTTTCAGAAAATCTCAACTTCTAATTGGTCACTTGATATTTAATAACATAGACCTAATTCTTGACCTGACCAAAAAGATAATTCCACCGAAATCTATCAAGCTTCTGTGAGCCTACCACGTGACCAAAGTTAGCAATAAAATATGAAACGTCTTTCATCTTCGACAGAGCGCCGATCGGAATCCTTTGAACTAGTCACACACTTCCGGTTTTACGTTAAAGTTCCTTAACATGATTCCAGCCTGAGAGAACACTCGTTCACACAGCAATATTTCATGACGAACAATCAACTCAAGTTTACCACATTCAATTTAATACACGGATCTTTTTCATACGCTTTCAAGCTCAACGTTAATTATTGTAATTAACATAAACACAGCTTGTTAAGAACCTGTTATGGGATCTTACCCATAATAATAATAATGGACTATTCCATACTTAATACTGCGCCTCAGAAGTAGGCAAGGGGAGTGAGTAGTTCAAGTCGAGTGAGTAGTTCAAGTCGAGTCCAGAGTCGAGTCAGAGGCTGTCCGAAACAGAGTCGCATTCAGACAATTACTGCAAGGCATTGGAATAGCGATACTGGTCGAGACTACATTGTTCTCGTTACTAAACCTGATTGTTCATACTAACACTTCTACTTCTCTGTATATATTCCTGTTTGTAATATATCTGTGTTATTCCATACCTGTGTTCGAGTTCTTCTTTATTAGTTCTACCTTGGACTATCACCGTGGTACAAGGGACCGGACCATAACAGAACCACTTACCCTAACTAGAATATTCTCTTCGAACAAGTGAAAACAAATCAAAGAGCGACAATTGCGTAAACCTGTAAAGTAAGTTGTAAACAATATTTCTCTATTTCAAATACAAACTTGAACTGCTTATTTTTTTCATAAATTACTATAATACCAAAACACACTTTCTCATTATTGTAAAGACCATTTAACAAATTATAATCTCATCAAACCAGAACTTTGATTACTTTTCATCTAAACATAAAAGGACGTTTGAACTTTTTAAAACCACCTTTTTACTCCAGTTGTTTTTGTATCTCTTGTTTATATAAATATTTTATTCATTGTTGTGCAAAAACTGTTGTTTCTCATGTTGTCATTATTCTATGTTTGTTGAATACTGTTATAAAATAAAATAACATATCTCGGCTGATTTACAGGCAAATACTCAAGAGCGAGAACCGGATGTGAACGGGACAAAGCCCCGTCACAAAATGACCATTAACTTTCTTTACAAATGTTTCCGACACACGTGTTCCGGTCGAAAAATAAAATAATAATTAAAGTGCTCTATTTTTTGTCCAATGAAAATGCTTCCCTCCTAATTATACTCACTTCGTTTCTCGAGCCTGTTAAGCCATAAAAAACGCTATAAAAGGGGTCACAGGGAAGTTCAGCGGCAGTCAACAGTTTGGCCGAAGGGCAAAGGAGACCGGTCACGTTTAAAAGGAGACCGGTCACGTTTAGCAGCTGTCAGCAGGAGAGCGTCAACCACCGTCAACATGTGTGAACTACCATGAGGGATCGACCTAGATCCGAAAGCCGGCTTATGAACTTTACCACACCAAGGTAGCTGTCCTAAACCCTTACGTTCCTGTTGAAATAAACCACGTAAATCTATTTCTACTGTTGTCGTATTTCTTTCTTTCAACCATACGCTTGTCTATAACAATACTAAAATTTAATTTGAGAGGAAATTGTTAATTTCATCACGCAGCCTAATTTGCTCAACAATTTTTGATCAATATGATTTAATCATTAACACAACCTCCACAATCTATGCATCTTTTTAATATTCGGAATAAAATAAAGGAGGCTATTTCTTCTCCCATTCACTCCCCCAAAGAAATAATTTTCAAAAAAAAAAAAAAAAAAATCAGTCATTGAAAATAATAAATAATTTTTGTAATATCCCTAAACATAGATTGCACTTCTTCCATTAACGATCTCCGTAGATTAAATAAACGGTTCAGTTTACTTAACCCGATGAAGGCCGAAAGGCAAGACAACCCAAAATATTGTGATAATAAAAACAAAGATGTCAAATGTTAATAATGCTTCTTATTTGTTTATTATTTTTGATGTGAAGAATGTACACAACAAGAGTAAAAAATTGTCTTTAAGATTGGTTTTTGGCATTGGAATTTATTACAAGATGTTATCAGCATTCAGTATTTAGGCATCATCCACAAAAGACATTTGACCGACAGGAATCATTTTGTATATGAATTATGTACACATAACATTTTATTTTACAGTTTAAGAATTAATAAAAAATTTTTTATTTAAACAAGAAATAACTGCAAAACAAAATATACTGACATTTCCTCCTAAAATCTTACTTAAAACACCAGAACATTCGAGAAAATGAATAGCAAAACACAAAACACTAAAATGTTCTGTCTGTGATACAAGAAATGATATTGTTAGATTATCTTTAAGACTCAGAGCAAAAAGAGGATAAAAAGAAGGAAAATAAATAGGAATGAGTACAAGGAAAGAGGAAAAAAGAAGGAAAAGAAATAGGGAAAGACTATGAGGAAAAAAGAAAAAGAGAGTATAAGGAAAGAGGAAAAGAGAAAGAGTATAACGAAAGAGGAAAAAAGAAATAGGGAAAGAGTATAAGGAAAGAGGAAAAGAGAATATAACGAAAGAGGAAAAAAGAAGGAAAAGAAATAAGGAAAGTATAAGGAAAGAGGAAAAATGAAGGAAAAGAAATAGGGAAAGAGTATAAGGAAAGAGGAAAAAAGAAGGAAAAGAAATAAAGAAAGAGTATAAGGAAAGAGGACAAAAAGGGAAAGAAATAAGGAAAGAGAAAAAAAAAAGGAAAAGAAAAAAGAAAGAGTATAAGGAAAGAGGAAAAGAGAAAGAGTATAACGAAAGAGGAAAAAAGAAGGAAAAGAAATAAGGAAAGAGGAAAAAAGAAGGAAAAGAAATAAAGAAAGGGTATAAGGAAAGAGGAAAAAAGAAAGGAAATAAGAAAGAGAAAAACGAAAGGAAAAAAATAAGGAAAAAGAAATAAGGAAGGAGGAAAAAGAAGGAAAAGAAAAGAAATAACGAAAGAGTAAAAAAAAAGAGGAAAAGAAATAAGGAAAGAGGAAAAAGAAGCAAAAGAAAAAGGAAAAAGAAGGAAAAGAAAAAAGAAGGAAAAGGAAAGAGTATAAAAAGAAGGAAAAAAATAAGGAAAGAGAAAAAATAAGGAAAAGAAAAAGAAGGAAAAGAAATAAGGAAAGAGAAAAAAAGAAGGAAAAGAAATAAGGAAAGAGTATAAGGAAAGAGGAAAAAAGAAGGAAAAGAGAAAGAGTATAACGAAAGAGGAAAAAAAGAAGGAAAAGAAATAAGGAAAGAGAAAAAAAGAAGGAAAAGAAATATGGAAAGAGTATAAGGAAAGAGGAAAAAAGAAGGAAAAGAGAAAGAGTATAAGGAAAGAACAAAAAAAGAAGGAAAAGAAATTACGGAAAGAGTATAAGGAGACAAGACGATGATGAAAAGAAGAAATAAGCACGATATTTGACACATACAGGCAAAAAAAAAAAAAAAGAGAAAAAAATTAACATGACGCCAATAATTAGCGTATAAATTAATTCTCTACTCCTAGAGAATGTAGTAAAAGAAAGGACGAAGAAAGGACTAATTATTAATTGAATGAAGACAGAAAGCATGGTTGTCAACAAATTAAACAGTCCATGCAACAGTAATGCAAATTACAAATACTTTTTTTTAAAATTGGCGACAACAAAAGCAATCAAGTACAAAAATTTAAATATCTTGGAAGTATTTTAACAGCGGACGGAAAATGTGAGACTGAATTCTGAAGGAGCATTGCGATAGCAAAAAATGCTTTCCAGAAGCTAAGTAAAGTATTAAGAAACAGGAGAATTTATTTAGAAACAAAGAAACGGTAGAGTAATGAGGAATCGGAGAGCCGAGTTCGAATTCCAGTCGAATCCATTAGATTCACTTACGTGCTAATAACCTTGGGAAAGGTATGAATCTTCTTCTTCTCCCCCCCCCAGCTATGGGTAAATAGCAGGACAGACCAGGTTCAGTTGCCTTGGATGGTAACTGGTCTACCGCAAAAAGAAATGGCAACTTAGTGCGGGAAAAAACCTTCCTCGTCAGTTATGTATCGAAAGATACATGATCGCCTAAGCCGTATCACGCATGGCACATAACTGACTGACATAATATCAGTTCTACTATATGCCAATAAATGCTGGACAATTTCACAGATGAAGAAAAAACTTGAAGCAAAAGAAATTGGGTTCTTTAGAAGGATGCTGAGAATACCATGGATTGAACATGTGAACAATGATGAAGTTTTAGACTAAATGGAAACAAAAAGGACACTTGTTCCCAACATCAGAAAGAGGTAACTGAAATTTCTGGGGGCGCATAATGAGGAAAGAGGGCTTGGAAATTTTGATACCCACATCGTAGACTGAAGGCAAATGGGACAGGAAAACAATGCATAGCCTATTTAGTGAGCTTGAGTAAATGAATGGCGGAGCAAGGTTTGGGAGAGATAACAGAAAGGCAACATTTATTAAGAGCTACAATGGACAGGAAGTTGTAGAGAGCCATGACCGCCAACGTCCTGAAGGGAAATGGTACGAAGAAGAAGGAGGTACTTGAATAGGAGAGATAACAAAAAGACAATATTCATAAGAGCTACAAAAGACAGGAAATTGTGGAGAGCTATGATCTTCAACCTCCTGAAAGGACACGTAACATAAAAGAAGAAAAACAAGAAAAAAGAAGCTTAACTAAATGGATAGCGGTACAAGGTTATGGGGAGATAACAAAAAGACAAAATTTATTAAAAGCTACAAAGGAAAAGGATTTGTGGAGAGCCATGATCGCCAACCCCCTGAAGGAATACTGCATATAGAAGAAGAAGAAGCTTGAGTAAATGAATGGTAGAACAAGGTTTAGGAGAGATAACGAAAAAACAAAATTTTTAAGAGCTACGTAGGACTGGAAATTGTGGAGAGCCATGTTCGCCAGTCTCCTGAAAGGATACGACAAGAAGAAGAAGAAGAAGAAGAAGAAGAAGAAGAAGAAGAAGAAGCGTGCGTAAATGGGTGGCGGAACAAGCTTTAGGAGAGATAACAAAAGGACAACATTCACTTAGAGCTACAAAGGACAGGGAATTGTGGAGAGCCGTATTCGCCAATGTCTAGAAGGGACACGGTACATAGAAGAAGAAGCTTGAGTAAATGGATGGCGGTACAAGGTTTACGGGAAATAAGGAGAAGGTTGGAAATTCTTGCGGCAAGTTCTCACTCCTTCAGCGGGTTTGAGAAAATATCCTTTGTCGCTCTATTTTTAATACCTTTGTAAACTGTCCTTCAAATTGCCACACCTGTTCCTTCCATTTCTGTTTTATAGACCAAACACCCCCACTATTTCCAACCCCAGTTGTTCTAATTCCTAACAATATCTTAGAATTTTCCTGGTAAACAACTTCCGCTATTGAATAACGATTAGAAGCGAAAATGGCTAATGTTTTTTTTCTATCTTTCCCATGAGGATGTCGTGAATGAGTGGTTTATATAACAGTGCAACTAATTCACAAGACATACCAAAGAAATTTGTCAAAAAGCAAAAACCTGTTGGGTTGCAATCCTAAAGTCTTGTTTTCCCACCAGTGTTGACAAAATTCAATGCTAATTTTATTCTCAAACCAGCAATTTAAGATTACTTACATTATTTACATTATTCGGACTGTTATGCTCATCTTCATTGCCATATTCACAACGTTTCTTCAGGTGATTGGAATTTCGAACTGAATCCTTTATTTCGTCCATTGAAACAAGAGAAAAAAATTGTCTTTTTAGATTAGTTTTTGACACTGGAACTTATTACTAGATGTTCCACGTGCCATGCCTCTTCCGACTGTCACAGTTATTTCTCTTTAGCTCAACTCTCAAAGTTTTGCTTCACAGCTGCTGTGGCCTGGTATTGAACTCACAACTCTTTGGGTCTAGTCACTGGATCTAATTAACGTCTTTATCCACTGGGCCATGTATCCTTGAGCACAATCTACCCTGGTGGACGAAATAAAGAGTTCGGTTCGAAATTCCAATCACCTGAAGAAGGCCGGAACGTACAACGACCGAAACATTGTGCATATGACAATGAAGATGCAGATAACAGTCCGAATAATGTAAATAATGCAAGTAATCATAATACCTCATCTCAGAGATATTGACAGATAGTAGCAATTTAAGATTGTTTCGGGCCGGTGTACGCGTTGAGAGATAAAAACGTGTGCCTCCTGAAAATGCCCACAACAAACATGGCAGACTCAGGATGTGAATTCACCATAAAGAAATGTAAAGAAACAAGAACTGATATATATATATATATATATATATATATATATATATATATATATATATATATATATATATATATATATATATACAAACAAATAATAATGTATGAACAACAAAGGGTTACAAGTGACAAAGGTAATAATCTGTGTGACAAATGAATGTGGAAATTTTTTGGTCCAAAGTAGGTGAATGAGTGAATGTGCGTAAGTACATGTGTGTGTGTATGTTTTGTACAAGGTCTATAAGCAATTTTAGACCAATGTTTATCTTAGAGAAAATTTTCAACCCGGATATAATCTATTCAATTGTCTTCTGTTTCTCTCAGATGATGAAACTGTATTGAGTCCCGACAAAAATAACATTTAAAAATAAAATATATAAACAGAAATAAAAAAGAATTCAAATGAAAATAAAGTATTTGCACTTTCCTTTAAAACCTTTATCTCTGTCTTTCTTTCTCTGAACTTCTCTTTCTATACTTCTCTACTAACGACAAGACAACCTTCAAATAAAAAGAGGAGGGAGAAGAAACGACTGAACCCGACCAAAAAATACTGGAAGTTTGCAGGAACAGAGCTTACGAATTTATGACTGAAAACTAACAAAAATCAGGGAGGCTCCACGCATAACTTCCGTTATAAAAAAAAAAAAAAAAAAATGAAAAAAAGGAACGCCGGAAAATAAAAATAATTTTGGCCAATCAACAAAATTGACACAAAGAAACTTTTGATGTTATCCGAAACCAAGGTTCAGGCCAGAGTCTGGGCGCCTTGCCAAAAGGGTATAAGCTGACACTTCTGAGCTAGAAGCAGAATGAAGACAAAAGACGCTAACGCGGAGAAACCCACCATGCGTGACGTGTGAAGAAGTAGTTAAGAAATTATCTGCTAAAGAGAAAAACATAGTAGATTGACACTGACCTATTTCTAATATTACTACTACCCCTATCACGGCCTGACTTCAAAACTACTATGTCTGGACTTTCTCCAAGCTACTACCAATATCCGCTTTATAAACGAACATTTTTGTGACACCGAATATCAAAGCACTCACTCATATATATATATATATATATATATATATATATATATATATATATATATATATATATATATATCTTGCTCCTTCGTTTCATGTCCTGTTTCCGATAAACATCACCAAGAATATCTACAACACTATATCCACACTGGTAACCTCCCGACGTGAACACACTTATCCATAAAACAATTGTATTTTCATTTCTTAAGTAACATCTTCGTCCCTTCCTTCCTTCCTAAACTATTGGTCACAAAGCATCATCTTTTATGGTGATTTTCTAAGTGTAGGTTAGATGTGGCACAAGGCCGAAAGTATGAGACACCCTGTGAGAATCGAACTACCTACTCAGTCGTAATTGTTCTAGCTAATTCTTCTAATTGTTTGCTGACCATTGCATCATGTCGAGGTATCCAAGCAGTATCGTTTATGATTTAAGAATAAGACTATTGTATAGTACGCTTTCGTTAGCACATTAGCTCGGTATTTTTCGCTTGCTTAATTCATCCTACTTACGGTATTTAACGGTGTCAGATATTGCTGCATAAATACAGTAGCCTGCCAATAGCTGAGACGCCCATTTTTGTTTATCGTCACTGACAACGACGCATTCAGTGTGAGCTCCGAGATCCTCACTATATAGACTTCTATTACATTCTAAATAGTTACTATAAAGGTCCTTCTGACTTCTCGGTCTGTGATGAATTTGTCATGATTAGTCATGTTTTCAGACTGAAATATGCTTTTCAGTGGGTGAAATTGGGGATAGTGGGGAAGTCTATTTAGTACAAAGAAATAACTTTTTTTTCCCGATTTCTTCATTTAAAATATTTTTGTGTGTAGGAGGAGGCATCTAATACACCGGAGCGTTTTATAAGCAGCGAAACACGGTATTAGTCTTTGTAATAGATAGAGGCTCGGATTGAGGAATCGGAGAGCCGAGTTCGAATTCCAGTCGAATCCATTACATTCACTTACGTGTTAATACCCTTGGGAAAGAAATGAATCCTCTTCTTCTTCTCCCTCCCCAGTACAGATCGGGTTGTGTAGCCTTTGATGGTAACTGGTCTACCGCATAAAGAAATGGCAACCTACTGCGGGAAAAAATCTGCTTCGTGAGTCATGTATCGAAAGGTACATGAT